GCGATTGGTAACGGAACTGGCATGACTGCAATTCAGAAATATTTAAAAGATAACAGGAAAAGCGCGGCTCGATATTCCTCCAAAACCATAAATTTAATAAGATCACTCAAAACCATTCACCAGATTCATGGCTGACAAGCATTACCATACAAGAAGTGAGAAAATGGCCAGAGTGAATCTAAAAAGAAACTCGATAATGTTGGCCTAAGCATTTTAACTGTTAAAAGTTGAACTGGAAATTCAAATAAAATATAAAAATACTGTTAAGGAAAGAAGTGAGGGAGGGGGGAGGCAGAAACGAGATAGCATTGAAACAGCATAATTTTTTAACGAAAAAAAGATCGAACAGTGTGAAATTTAACCAAAAGAACTCAAAATTTGCACAAAAAAAAAGGCGAAATGGATCTAGAAAGGCATAAAATTCACTTAAACTCAGTAAAATCAGTCTGATTTTGCTCTAGGATAGTTTTAAAAAGAGTTCGGATCAAAAAAATTGAACACAAAATAACAACAGTGAGGAAGAACGGAATAAGAAATTGGACAGGGCACATCAGAAAACGAACCCTCACGTTCCCTCGGCTTTTTTTGTCTCTACTATAAAAACTAAATATTTACATTTCGCTGGGTGCATTTATCTTTCGAAACGCTTTTTTGAATGAAGAAGGAATAGCAAATTAAATGGGATAACACAAGCGGAACAGTGGGGAGCCCATGGTTTTTGTTAGTGAGGGCACGTTCCCATACGCCAGGTACAGCTACGGCAAGTCCTTCGATCCTGAGCTGCATACTTTTAGCTAGTACCCAACGCCTTTTCGATGCATGGGAGCTATTTCTTCGGCGTCTAACTCAGTGGCTATTTACGTTCTCGCGGATTACGCTTCACCAGTGCGCACCACCCGGAAAATTTCAGTTTTCAGTGAAGCTAAATAAACTGGTGAAGTGTTTTATATACATTACTAACATACGTTACACAATTAATTTTAACCCTCGTCGTATTGATAAGGTCTAGTTGCAGTAATGGTAAGAAACGTATAAGACTTAATGGACCGAAACTCTTTTTACCATTATAATAATCTCACAAAATTTTCTAATTTTCATTTCTCACCTCCCTTTTCCTTTTTTATGCGTTTTTTGCAGCTATGCAATGCAAAAACGCATATTAATGAGGGGTTGTCCGCGTGTCCGTGTATCTGTGTGTGCGTCTGTCAGGCACTTTCATCTCAAGACCTATAAAGCTGTAGGGCTGAAATTAGGGGAACTTAATCTATATGCATGTGCCGGCCCCCCAAAATTGGCGTCATCACCCGCATGGTACCCGAGTACGGGCCCGCCAAAATTTTTTTCAGGCAAGTTCATAACTCAGGAAGCTGAGAAGCTAGAGCGCTTAAATCTTTGAGGAATGTTCCCCGTCCTACTGGGTATTAATGCAATGAAACCCATCCCCCGGGTAAGCGTGGTACCCGCGTACGGGCCCGCCAAAATTTTTTTCTGGTAAGTTCATAACTCGGGGATCTGAGAAGTCAGAACGCTGAAATCTTAGGAGAATGTTACCCGTCCTAGTAGGTGACAACTCAAGAGCCAGGAAAGCTAGAAAGCTGAAATTTTAAGGAGGCGTTTCCTGCCAGTTCTGGCGGCCAGTCTTAATTTTTTCAGCTAGAAGCATCTGCAGAAAAAACCGATGCT